TTTTTTTTTTTTTTGGTTTTTCGAGACAGGGTTTCTCTGAGTAGCCCTGGCTGTCCTGGAACTCACTCTGTAGACCAGGCTAGCCTCGAACTCTCGAACTCAGAAATCCGCCTGCCTCTGCCTCCCAAGTGCTGGGATTAAAGGTGTGCGCCACCACCGCCCGGCTTCAACGTAAAGACTCTTAAGACTGAAGTCTTGGAACACGAAGAGAATCAATCTTAAACTCAGCTTAAGCAGAACTACTGAATCCAGTACCATGGAGCAAAATAAACTTAAACTATACTTAAATTTTCAGTTCCTCAGCTTTACAAGCCACATTCTAAGTAGCAACAGCCGTAAGTGGCTGGCTATTAACTCCTCACTAGATAGCACAGAACACTGCATCATCCAGGAAGAACTAGTGCCTATGGCACCCTGGAATATGTTACAGTTCAGATGGCCAGAAACAATTTTACTTGTATCATCTAACAATAAAGGATATCCTTGACTGGAGCTCAGTGGGTGAGGAGTCCATGATGCTCACGCAGAGGATCAAGAGTTCAGTGCCCAGTACCCACATCAGGTGCCTCACAACCACCTCTAACTCCAATTTCCAGGGGAAACAATGCCCACTGACCTTTGCAGGAACAAGGCACACATACATCTACTCAGGAGCACTCGGAGACATAAAATAAAAACAAAGACTATCCTAGACAGCAAAAACCCTCACTGTTATTAGTAACGTAAGAAAAAATAATTGAAAGTGACCGTTTTCAGATACTAGTCATAAAGAATTCTAAACTACGATGCTCAGGCAAAACCTAATGCCCCCCCCCCAGGATGGAGGCATAGCCTAGGGAACAGAGACAATTCCAAGCACAGCACAGCAATCACCCTTGACTCAGTTACCCTGCACAAGTTTGAAGTCAGATGTCAGTCATCTATCTCTTTAATGTTCACTCCAGTAAGAAGAATACAACAGCAACTCAAGTTGAAACCAAGTTCAGTCAACACTCAAACTAGTAAGATTTAGTCGGTCAGCAGCTATGCAACGTTAACTAGTTAAGTATGTAACTACCTTATCAACCCAATCCCTTACTTAGGCCAATACTGGTTTGGGGTATATACCCTGTCAAAGGAAATCAGGTGATCAAGACACTGACCACCAGACTGGATAAGCCGAATGACCCACTCACTGGTATACAAAATATAAGGTCAAGAGAGTCTGTAGTTTATAAAGGCATCTGCACAGCATGGCCCACTCTGCAGAGAGTAAACTGTACCAATTAATTTAGATAAGGAATGACTGGAGACAGG